AGAGGCCTGGTTCCCTCCCCGGGCAGCCTGGCCACGTGTGAGCAGGTGAGCTGGGCACCTTGTGGAGCCCTGTGAGTGGGACCCGGGGACGAGGTGGCTCGTGCAGTGACTTAGAATAACACCAGAACAAATCATGCAATTAACTGGTCTCCAGCACTAGTTACCTTGCTGCAGCCCTTCCCCTTCTCTGTTGCAGAAGCTCACCCTGAGGCACGTCAACAGCAACCAGTGTCTGGATGAGCCATCAGAGGAGGACAAGATGGTTCCCACCATGAGGGAGTGCGGGGACAGCCGCTCCCAGCAGTGGCTGCTGCGCCACATGACCCTGGCTGCGTGAGGGTGGGAAAAAAAACTGCTGCCATCTCCTCCTCCTCCTCCTCCTCCTCTTCCTCCTTGCTGAAGCCCTCTCCCAGTCCCAGCTGTCGGAGCCCAAGTCACAGGGAGTTTCCCTGGATGTGGCGGGTCCCCACGCGCCCCGTCAGGACTTGGTGGCTGCTCCACACACACGTCTGAGCCTGCAGATGTCAGAACACGTGCTGTTAGCAACACAAAACGTGCTCAGAAAAATGGTTCCAGAGGAAAAACTGCTGTGAGCCCTGCATTGAAGAGGTTGGGATGGAAGGTGTTTGCTGTGTCACACACCACCGTGGAGAAGTGACCCAGTATAAAATGCCTTAGGACACTCACTGGCAGTGGGAACCATCCTGGCTGGTATCTGCTGGGCTGGATGTGTTGGTGCTGGGCTGCCCTGGCCACCAGCTGGGGATATTTGCTGCTCTCCCCTGTCAGGTGAGACGTGGTGAAGAACCACCCTGAGCAGCAACGTTGCTGGACAGAGCAGAAGCTCTGGGAGAAAATGGGATTTGATGCTTGGAAAAGCAGCAAAACTGAGCAAGGGCTGCCCTGAGAAATGGAAATTAAATCAAACAAGGCAGCAGCAGGAGACCCGGGAGGAGGACAGATGTGGGTGGACTGTCCTCTGCGGTGGGAACAGTGGCTGGAGATGACTGCAAGGGGATGGAGACACCAAAAACTGGGGCTGCTGGAGCCTGAGCCTGGATCTGAAGCTCAGTCCCCAGCTGTGTTCGTAGGTCCTTGCATCCCGTGAGAAACACGAGGGCTCCACATCCTACTCACCAAGGATGG